CAACAAATTTTGGTCATGTCCACAACACAACATTTTTATTCTTTATATATATTATTTGTTATTTATTTCCCAATTTACAGATAAAAGCAATAAAAACAGCATTTTTACTTCAGTGGCATTACTCTGAACGTTATTAGTGGTGAATGAAAAGCTCTTTCTTTAACATCCCCAAAATGTCACCTCCACAACAAATTTTGGTCATGTCCACAACACAACATTTTTATTCTTTATATATATTATTTGTTATTTATTTCCCAATTTACAGATAAAAGTAATAAAAATAGCATTTTTACTTCAGTGGCACATTACTCTGAACGTTATTAGGGGTGAATGAAAAGCTCTTTCCTGAACATCCCCAAAATGTCACGTCCACAACAAATTTTGGTCACGTCCGCAACACAACATTTTTGTTAACAAATCCATGGTAACAAGTAATTTCTATATTATCTTTTCAGATTTATGAAGCCCAATTACTATTGCATTTAGTTAGTATATGCAGTTTTTTTAAAAGGTTTTCAATTCACGGGAAATTTGAAGTAACGAAAAGCAATTCAAATCAATGGTTGTTTTAGGAGCCACATCCGCAACACACTTTGAAAAATTATTTTCTCTGGTTCTCTAAGAGATAGTAAAAATGTTTTCTGGCAAAATAAAAGGTACTTCAGGGGTAATTTTATGACATGACTCAATTCAATTCAAATAGTGTGGAACTGACTTTAGGAGACATTTAATACCGAAATTTTGCCTCTACATGTCATGTCCACAACGTGGAATTGATCTTGTCAGTTTGACCTTGAACTGCAGTGTTTTTGATCAAATGTACCCTAAAATCAAACATTTTTGAAATAATTATGGCGGCAACAGCCAAAAAATCGATTCAGCTCATCTTCTCAAGTTAGGTTGGCCTATGAGTGAAACAAACCACTACATACTTCATTTGGCTGAATATTGAGTTATTTTCGAGAAAATCGATAACAACTGAATTCTGCCATAATGTGGCTTTTGAGGCTCAAAATTTCAGACGCATCTTGGGGCGTCGCGTCACAAAATGAAAAACCTGGATTGATAAAAAGTACCAAATCTTGAAAAACAACATCAAAACCTACATTGATTGCAAATTGAGCAATTCTTGACCATTTATTTACACAATCTAATTGAATTTATCTGACCTACTTCCAACTAGATAAAAATAGGTCAAAAGTAGCCCTTGATTTAACAGTGTGCTAAACAAAATAATTAACCGGAAATCTGGGTTTCGGAAGGCAGTGAGGTAGTCCTCTTGGATCTCCAAAGGATTTTTTGGGGAAATGATTTGGGGAGATTTAATCAAACCTTAAAGTTGGATAAAATGCGCCATTTCAACCGTGTCGTCAGTTAGTCGAAAATGTACACATACTCATGCAAACTCAATTTTTTTACATTTTACGTCCAATCCACATGTACTGCTTATTTAACATAATATGCTCTTGCCTTCCATGTTTCTGAGGACTGCAGTCCTAAAATTATTGCATCTCCCTCACAATAGTGATATTGCTAGGAGGGATAGTCAACGCCTCCTTATGATTGTTCACAAAGCATATCTCGGGGTTTTTGATTTGAGGTTTCTCTATTCCCATTTCATTGAAAAAGAGGCTGTAATTACTTCACATAAGAGATCTTTGCTTAAATGTTAGTCTTTAACCGAACCACGAACCAAATGTAAGCAGAATTTTGCTGGTTCAGAAATGTGTGTCTCGTGGGCAGTTCAACAACGCTAATTAATTTAAAATGAGATCTACTGAAATTGACAACTTTGTTAAAACAGAACATTGTACTGTGAAACATGTGGCTTCAAGAACTTAGGTCTTGTTTCAAATATACTAAACAGTAGGGTGATCGTTTCCTATATTCGTATGTTCTTAATGTGTGATTTAGAGGTGATATTGT